TTTTGGAATGAATAATACCTGTCACTCCCTGCTGATTAAGAGGACATTAGTAAGTCGTCTCGCAGGCAGACAGGAAGGCGTGAGCTCATTGCAATAGTGAACCTTCACTTTGATAATAAGAATCGCGAGACGAGTCTCGGAGTTACAGATTCTGGTTTGAGAATGCCTTGTCTATCATAAACACGTTGCAAAATCTCAGTCAGCCATTGCTTGACCTTAGTCCTGCCTGAAAGTGAGAACCTGGTGCCACCAGGGAGAGTAAGTGACCAAGGGCTAGAACCTGTCATGGTGCGACTTTGGATAAAAACAATAAGCCTTCTCTGAGCACCAAGCATCCTCTCCACATCAGGGTGTCGCAAGCAATGTTTTTCTGGTGGAGCCTTGCGACGACTTCAATCGTCCGAGGACGACTTTCGCAATTGCATTATTGCGTTGAGCTGGAATCTAGTCCAAGGATGAGGAAGCGCAATTCGCGGCGATGAAATCATTGGGGAAGACAGTGAATCGTAAAAAGGCCGGCTGGAGTCAAGCGAACACTGCGACTGCTTACGCATAGTAACAAACGTCAATTATTCCCCACGGAATCCAGTTAGCCAGTCATTTTATGATGGAAGCTGATTCTAGGAAGATAGTGGTATATTGAGAAAACAATTTCTCCACACCACACTCTGTCCAGCAACTTTTTTTAAGCCAGAAATACTCAATTTCATAATATTTTATCTGTGAGGAGGTCTTAAAACCTTAAGCCAATGCGCGACGAATTTGCTAACAGTGACATTAAGGCATGGACGTTTGGTTGGTTAGTTTGGATATGGTGGCTTAGTTGGTAATATGCACGTTCTGATTGTGCATGGCATTGTTAGTCCTGGTTTAAGTAACGTGATAGCTGATTTTCCGTATTCGAATAATAAGATAGGTTTGCAATAGCGGGTGTCGTCTAGTGCACGGAATGGAAAAAAAATACCCGAATCTCCCAAGCTGTTTGTTATTCTTCATGGCGGTTGATATTGTTTTTCACATAGGTACTCTAGACATCTAATCAATTGAATCTAATGGTTTTCCAAACCCTTAAGAAGGCATAATGTTCAAAACGGGAATGGCACCTGATGATACTGTCAGGTGCGAACATATCCTCGCTAGTATATCGTTGGTGCTAGTGTTATCCCTTTGGTCCCTTGCGCTCTCCGCCATTTTCCCCCACAATCCTTTCCCCCTTTCTGAAACCCTCTGCTCCGCCATTCAAGATTTTCTTCCTGACAAATTCCTGACCAGCACATATTGCTCGTTCGCATTCAATCACCACGATCCTATAGAATACCACGCGATGGCGTCGTCCCTTTCTCCCGCGCCAGAGTCCCTGGTCGACGACTTGCCGCCGGTTTCACCCACAGCGGCTATCAAGGCGGCTGTTGTCCGCATTACTGCGGCCGCTACTGGCGGTGCTGTGCTCGGCGGTGCCCTAGGCTTTGGTAAGCCGAATGGCATTGAGTAAATGATGGTTAAATACCTGATGGTTAACTCGCGATAAGTGGCTTGTTAAGGCTGCGAAGCTTTATCAAGGTCACTTATGATCAGTTGTCCACGTGTCGGCCTCTCGCCAGTCTCAGTCTTTTGGGACAACCACTTTGAGCCGAGATGCGCCATACGTTTATCGCCTTCTCAAAATGGGCGATTCCTGTGAAGTCTCTGGAGACCCTGGTGTGTCCCGTCTCGTTTGCATCCTGCCACCTCCTGCGGACCATAAGGCTTCGCCGTTGAACCTTTCAAGAGGCTCACGTGTCGCTGTCGCTGCTTGTGACGGATATAAATCAACCTCCTCAATCCACATTGTCCGCCTCATTCTTCGCTTCAATGTCCCGCTCATTCTCTCTCATTGTACCCCTCATTTTCTCTCATTGTCCCCTTCATTGTCCGCCTCATTGTCCTCCTCATTCTCTCCATTGTCCCTTCATGGTCCGCCTCATTGTCCGCCGTCTCCGCGCCCATGCAGGGCTGGGCTTCGTGGCGCGCGAGGGCACCAAGGTAACCATGCGCGAGTCTGCCTTCGGCCTCAAGGTGAGATGAAACCGAATGATACCCATGCTGTCCTGTTACGTGATCCGGACCCCATTGTGCCTTGATCCACCCTCTTATTCATCGTGCCTTGATTCACCCTCTTAACGAATGGCTCTCAAGTACGGTTCAAGTGTAAGCTGACTGTAAGGGGGTCCTGAACCTTGTCGTATGGGAGCCCCTGAGGCTGATGAAAGCTTGCTTGCAGTCTCCGACCTACAAGTGCCATTAAAGCCCGTGCCCCAAATTGCAGAGCGTGAGGGGCAAGGTCATCAATCTTGCCCGACTGGCGTTTTGAGTGCTGTATCTTGGTGCTAAACAGGTTACAGTAGGTATGAAAGAAAATAACTGGTTGAGGCCTAACTCAGTTCTAAACCTTCAAGTCCAGCATTCTACAATTTATGATTCTCGGTCCCAAACAGACAGTTGGCCCTGGGGTTTGCTGACTCAGCAAGAAAGGGCGAAAGGTAGGGCGAAATCTGACAACCCCACCCTCCCAACAACACCTGTTCGACTTGGCGTTCACCTCCCAAACCACCCAGACCTCAGCCTTGCGCAAGCTTATTAATCTTGCGCAATTTGGACTGTGGGCTTTAAGTTGTAGTTTGTAATCCCACAAGTGAATGCGTACCAGTCAGGAAATGTTTGCCCATGTATGAGCCATGCTGTATGCGAGAACTGGTGTGTGCGAAATTTTGCTGTGTGCGATCCGTTGATGCGTGCGAGTCAACCATTCATGTCGTGGACCAGCCGGGGTTTGCGAAATGCAGGCTGACCCTGTTTCTTTACCTGCTCATGCTTCCCAACCTTGTTCCCAGACCGTGGCTATCATGTCAGCTGTCTATGCTGCCACGACAGCAGCTATTGAGAACCTGAGGAATGATCTACTTGACAGTGAGTGCCTTGCTGACGATCGACGTGTGTCATTCTTCAATCGCTCTACTTCTACTTACTGCCCTGTGTTCCACTTCATCTAGAGTTTTTTGCATTCACATTCCCCTTCTGCCCTCCTGAAACTCCTCTACTCGGTCATCAGTTGCTGTCCTTATCTCAATCTTTTCTTTCCATGTCAATATCCCAATGTTCCTGCCTGCCTGTATCAGGTGCAAAGCCAGGGCTTGCTGGATGTGCAGCTGGACTGGCAGCAAGTGTCCCAGGTGAGATTCAAGAGTTTCTCAATGAGCCTGCTCTCCATGTCCCTGTTAGCAATATTTCCCACATCATCTCTGCTGTCCTGGCTTGCAGTCTCTGTCCCTCTATCGCGGCCACATTCTCTCCACGTTTTGCTCTCCCTCCCATTTATGGGAAATGCTCTTGTGATTACTTTTTGGTTCGGCTGCTGCAGGTCCACCAATGGCAATGCTGCAAGGATGTGCTGCCTTTGGCCTCCTTTCCTTCGTCTTGGATTTCTTTGCACCGGCTGAAGCATCCGCCAGTCCACTCAGACTCACAAAAGACCTTCGTTCCAACTGGAGAGCGCGAAGTGCATCAAAGAAATTTTCTTCAAGGCCTGAATCTCCACTTGATAGCTTGCTTTCCCTCGCCCTGCCCACATCCAGTGTTGCATCGCCTCCACTCCACTAACAACATTCCACCCGATCCCGACTCAACTCAGTTTCTGGTTTCTGGACAAGGATCGGCCTTGTTATTTTAGTAGGGGATTTTAGCAGGCGTTAGACGGTTTTTCAATGAGTCAACAACGTACGGTAGTACAGATTGATTCAGGACAGCACACCAGTACCCAAATGTGCCGTGTGTAGTATAGGAACTAAGCTTGTGTCTTCTATAAAGCTTGAGACCAAGAGGTGCACGCTGTCCGCTAGTTTGCGCAATAGACGGGGATTTTCTGTTTCAGGGATTTTTTTTTTTTTTTTTTTTTTGGCGTGAATCCGTAACACCTGACCTGACCTGACCTGGACCCACAGTGCACGCATGTCCGCGTTCGTGTCGGTCAAGTGCGACACTGGGCAAATCATTACGATTGGCGCTGCAAAATTCGCCAACCTAAGGTAACTTCTGTGAGATTTTCGCGAATCGGATTCTACGGGGTGTTGCCATTCCCTCGCAATTCCCGAATGCTTGCGAAACAAAAATCTTTCTTCCAGCGTTTCCCATCAGTACGGAAATCTGCGAAGGGGACAAGGAGATGCACTGCTGCTGCTGAACCTAGCTGGCAAACAGCCTGGGGGGACGGGGACATGCTTGCGCCTCTTCTACTTGCTTGCTGTGTCTCCCTTCTTGCTCCCACTGCTGTGGCGTCTCTCACTCCGCTCCGCACTTGTCGGAAGAGTTTCCCAGACCATGTTAGCGAAGGTCGATGACACCGCTTAGACCGTGACTCGCGCTGTCTGGCGTCTACTGGCGACTGCAGATTCGTTAGTCTCGTAACGCCACCTGTATGATGGTGTCGCTGTAGACACATAGCCTCACGGACCGCTTCCCATTCATAGATCCAGCTTGCTCTGAGCCGTCGATTGAGACGAAACTTTTTGTCATGACGGGTGAATGGCGTCCGGCTGTTGCGAAGCGTCGCGTCGTGACACGGTCTCCTGGTGCCTCGTTACTGTTCTCGCGCTCTCCGGCTTTCGCGGCCGCGTGCCTGCTACTCTGCACTCTTGCGGCACCCCTCGTCTCCTCGCCTGCTTCTGCCGCCCCTTCACCTGATGGTAACCACGCAACGGTACCCCTCTGACGACCATGACCCTTTTTCATCGCTCCGTTCGCTTTCCCCTTCGTATCCCACCCCTTCCCCCCCATCTCCCCCCTTCCCCCCTCCCCTTTCCCTCGTCCCCTCCTCCCCTTTTCCCCACCATCCTCCTATTTCCCCCGTCACTTCCGCTGCTGGGCCTCTGTCGGTTACCCTTTCTCTATTTGTTGACTCGAATTCGACAAGGCTCTTAAGTGCTATCTCTCCTTCCTTGAACTCCTCCCCATACGTCGTTTTCCCAATGTCGTTCTTGTGCGGTCGTCGTCGTCTCTCTCTCATCATGTTCTCACTGCGTACAACTCTCCGTCCCCCCCGCGCCCACATTCCGCGTGCACTCCCCGTGTCCATTTACCGCGTGCACTCCCCGCGTCCATTTTCCGCGCGCATTCCCCGCGTCCATTTCCCGCGCGCATTTCTCGCGTCCGCTCCGCGCGCTTGCCTTCCCGCGCCGTCCGTTCCATCAGCGGAAGCTCTTCTCCGCGTGCGCGCGACGCTTCAGCTGTCGCAGGAGTCCGCACTGCCGTCGTGGACCGATGCGACGAGTCCGTGCGACGGCGGGTGGGAGGCGGACGTTAGATGCGACCCTGACACCAACCAAGTCGTCCACCTGTAAGTACCCTCCCCCAAGGCCCCCCCCAGACAGATACGGAATGGCATCTACCTGGAGAATCGCCTGGTATGTGCTAGCTTGCAACTCTTATCCGTCCTCCTTTTCCCGTCGTTTCACCCAGCGACGTATCTGGCTCGCATCCTTCAGTTCCAGCTCCTAGACTCACGCGCACCATCTTAAATGGGGATACGATATCTCGTTCCGCCTTTCTCCACGCAGCCACACATTCAACCCTGTATTAGTCGGGGATATGATATCCATCGGGTCCAATCCAGTCCAATTTCAGGTCCTCCCTCCTCCCTACGAACCTACCCTGTCCCCCATTCTTTCCTCCTTCCGTCCTCCCTCCCTCCCTCCCTCCCTTCCTTTCCTCCCGTCCCCCTTCCCCGTTCCCTTGCCCTTCCCCAGTGACATATCCAGCTTGCAGCTTTCGGGGCCCATCCCAGGCACGGATCTCGCGCAACTCTCCTACCTCACTTACCTGTCAGTGCTCACCTCACACCTACCTGCTCATCGTGCTCTGCTCACCTACCTGCTCATCGTGCTTGAGAGTTGGAACTGGTTGGTAGGCACGCAGTGGGCGTGTGAAGCAATGAGCTGTCAGTGTGTCTGCCGTGCTCACAGCGCGTTGCGTTGACGGGCGGTGTGAGATGAGAACGAGTGGTTTGTCGTGGCTGGCACCACACGCACATGAACAGCACAGGATTAAGGTGTGTGCGTGTTCAGCGCAGGGGAACACATGCTAGGCTGATCTTTGCTTGCCCCGGGATAGGGGTTTGGGAGCGGGGTGTTCAAAGCGCAAGGGTTATGGGGTTTAAAGTTGAGACTGTAGAGTTTCGGTCCCGGTGGAACACATGCTAGGCTGATCTTTGCTTGCCTAACGGGGTAGTCACTCTACAGAGTTATGTCTGGTTGTTAGTCAGAATCCAAGGAACCATCGGAAAGTTGTGCGTCTGGTTTATGTGACCCTGACTTGGCTTCTCAATCCAATGAGCTCACAAATGATCAAGGTGCTACGCAGCTCCATCTCCCCTCTTCACTCACTCTTCCCCCCTCTCCCCCTCTCTCTCCCCCTCTACCCCCCTCACTCCCCCAATACCCCCTCACTCCCCCTCTACCCCCTCTCTCCCCCTCTCTCCCCCTCCCCTCCTCTCTCTCTCTCTCTCTCACAGGGCGTTGGATGGCAACACCTTCTCGGGCTCTCTGCCAGCAGACCTCTCCAGGCTGTCAGCCCTGAAGCACCTGTACGTGCTGAGTCGCTCTGCAACCTGTACGTGCTGAGTCGCTCTGCAACCTGTACGTGCTGAACCGCTCTGCAACCTTTGACGCGCCTGTACGTGCTGAGTCGCTCTGCAACCTTTGACGCGCCTCAAAAACCGCATGAACTGACACGATTTTTTTAAGTGCCTCAAACAGCTTCTTGAGCTCTCTACCTGCAGACCCCTCCAGGCTGTCAGCCCTGAAGCACCTGTAAGCGCTGACTCTCTCACTCACACGCCCCTCGATGTAGAGGTGCTCTTGGCACTTGTACGCTCTGGAGCACCTCGCACGCCCCTCACCACTCACCCCGCACGCCCCTCACCACTCACCCCGCACGCCCCTCACCACTCACCCCGCACGCCTCTCACCACTCACCCCGCACGCCCCTCACCACTCACCCCGCACGCCCCTCACCACTCACCCCGCACGCCCCTCACCACTCACCCCGCACGCCCCTCACCACTCACCCCGCACGCCCCTCACCACTCACCCCGCACGCCCCTCACCACTCACCCCGCACGCCCCTCACCACTCACCCCGCTCGCCCCTCACCACTCACCCCGCACGCCCCTCACCACTCACCCCGCACGCCCTTGAGCAATCTCACTCACGTCAGCAGCGGCTTAAGGCGTTTGTGCACACCACCCTCCCATGATCCCTCCTCCCCCCCATCCACGCCACGCCGTGCCCATCCACGCCTGTCGCCTCCCTCACGCTCAGCTCCCTCCCCTCTCCCACCCCCCCCCACCAGGTCGCTGGAAGGCAACGCAGTGGAGGGGCCCATTCCAGGCGACGTGCTCAACTCCCTCACCGCGCTCACCCTGCTGTGAGCCCCGTCCCCACTCCCTGCCCCCACTCCCTGCCCCCACTCCCTGCCCCCACTCCCTGCCCCCACTCCCTGCCCCCACTCCCTGCCCCCACTCACCTCCCCCACTCACCGCCCCCACTCACCGCCCCCATTCCCCCACTCCCCATGCACCATACCATGTGTCCTTGTTTCTTTGCCCTCATGACCCTAACAATCCATGCTTGTATGCCCCAATGCCCCATGCTCCCATGCGCCCGCGCCCATGCTCCCAGTTCCTCTTAGCCTGGCACCATCCATGTCAAGAGCCTCTCTCTCTCCAAACCCGTTCCATTCCTCACATCCACTTCCCCTCACCTCATTACCCCCCTCCCTTTCGCCTACCCCCAATAACCCCCCTCATCCGCCTTGTGTCCGCACCACAGCAACCTGAAGACGAACAACTTTTCGGGCCAGCTGCCGGAGTCGCTCGGGGCACTCACTAACCTGGTTGCACTGTGAGTCGTGTTCGCCGTGCCTCTCTCTCTTTCCCATAGTGCACCGTGCCATGCCATAGCCATGCCATCTCCCCTCGTCCCCTTGTTCCCAACATCCCCTCATCCACGCGTCCCCTCGTCCCTTCGTGCCCTCATCTTTTTCCCCTCTCTCATCCATGCGCCTCCAGCAACCTGGGAGCCAATCAGCTGACAGGAGAGATCCCAGCAAGTTACTCCGCCCTCTCGCAAATTGTGTACTTGTGAGTTATGCCCCTGCCTGCTCCCCTTGCCACCCCTTCTCGAGTGCTCTCCCTGCTGACTTGTGCCCAGTGGCGCATGTTTCTTCGCCTGCCTCGCTCACATCTCCGCCTCCCCTTATCAGTGCTCATGTCGTTGCTTCCGTCTTTCATTTCAACACCCCTCCCCCATCGCCCCTCACTGATCGCCCCTCATTCATTGCCCCTCACCACGTCTCTACCGTCGTTCACCACCCCCCATCACCCCGCACCGCACCGCACCACCACACCATGGCAGCAAGGCGTCGCGCAACAAGCTGGACGGCGCCCTTCCCGACTGGTTCGGCTCGTGGCCTCGACTCATGGACCTGTCAGTGCCATCGCCTGTCCTCGCTTGCCCGTCCTCCTGTTTTTACCCACTAGCATCACTCTCCCCACTCTCCTCTCACTGCATACTTTGCTGTTCGCCTCCTGGCCGCGACTCATGGACCTGTCAGTGCCCTCGCTTTGCCCTCACTTGCCTCCCTGCCTCTACTTAGTTCCCCCACTCACTCTCCCCACTTTTCCTGCTCTCCCCACTCACTCCACTTTTCCTACTCTCCCCACTCTCTCACTCTCCCCACCTCTCGCAACCTTCTCACTGCATTCCATACTGCTCGACTCCTTGCCCAAAATGCATAATGGCCTCCACTCCAGACCCTCTCACACTGAAATACCCCCTCGCCCCTCTCTCTCCTACGCCACCGCCTTTTTCCCCACGCCAGAGGGATCGTCCTGTGAGCTTCCCTCAGGCTCCACTTCCGACTCTCTTAAATCAAAATATCTGCTTTCCCCCTTTCCTTCTCCTCCCCCTTTCTTCCCACCCTCTCCTTACCGCCCTCTTCTTCCCCTGCGCTCCTTCCCCCCGCCCTTGTTCTCCCCCCCACCGTTCTCCCTGCCACAGAGAGCTATTCAAGAATGGCTTCACGGGCTCCATTCCCGACTCTCATGTTCTGAGACGCCCCTCACTCCACCCCCCCTTCCCCTCTACTTCTCCTCCCACCCAACCCCTTTCTCCTCTCCCCTCGCCACAGAGAGCTATTCAAGAATGGCTTCACGGGCTCCATTCCCGACTCTCTCGGCAACGTGCAATCTCTGGTCGCCCTGTAAGTCTCTCTGTCTGCTTGCGCTCGGAGTCTCTGTTTGCGCTGGGAGTCTCTGGCTAACTCCCACACTTCACAGTGCACCCCTCCTCCCTCGCTCACTTGCTCACTCACTCACTCACTTACTCACTCACTCACTCACTCACTCACTAATTCACTCACTCGCTTACTCGCTCACCCACTCGCTTGCTCACTCGCATGTTCCACTCGTGAGTCGACTCATAAGTCGTTCCTTTCTTCATTGCAAATCGAACCACCTTTTCTCTCCAACTCCCTGGTCACGAAAGCATATCAGGCTCGCTGCCGAGTTTCAAGGCAACCATAAGCTCACCTCCCCTTCTCGTCCTGCGAACCACCCCCCTCGTTTCCCCATTCCCCCCCTTCCTCCTCCCCCTACTTGCTGCACCAGGTCACTGGACGAGAATGCACTGTCTGGCTCGCTGCCCGCATCACTGGGATTGCTGCCACGCCTTGAAGCCCTGTGAGCTCCCCTCCCTCGCACCACCCCCACAGCACTCTGACCGCACTCTGACAGCACTCGGACACAACTCTGACAGCACTCTGACACCACTCGGACACAACTCTGACAGCACTCTGACACCACTCGGACACAACTCTGACAGCACTCTGATCTGACACCACTCGGACACAACTCTAACAGCACTCTGACAGCACTCTGACACCACTCGGACACAACTCTGACAGCACTCTGACACCACTCGGACACAACTCTGACAGCACTCTGACACCACTCGGACACAACTCTAACAGCACTCTGACAGCACTCTGACACCACTCGGACACAACTCTGACAGCACTCTGACACCACTCGGACACAACTCTGACCGCACTCTGACAGCACTCTGACACCACTCGGACACAACTCTGACAGCACTCTGACACCACTCGGACACAACTCTAACAGCACTCTGACAGCACTCCCACCACTCTCCCACCACTCTGGAAGGATTCAGAGAATCCTTGAACGCTCTGCACCGCACAGTAGATGTTGCTTTTGAGAATTCTCAAAAGTAACATCTGCACCACACGGGATCCTGGGACCGCCTGTCACAGCACGCACTGGTGGAACCAGGCCAATGGTCGCCTGTGACATGGCGCAGTAGTGCAAGCAAGCGGTATTACTCCAATGGGCCATTCTCAATCCCGCATGCCATCTTGCCACCCTCACACCGCTCCCCTCTCTCTCACCCCCTTCACCCGCCTCACCTCTCTCTGCAAGCATCTCTCCATCCACTCTCCCTTGTAATCGTGTCACCGCCTGCCTGCCCTGCCTCCCCTCCGTGCGTGCAGCTATGTGGTGTCCAACAATCTGGAAGGGCCCATCCCGGAGTCCTTCAGGGGCATGCAGAGCATCAAGTACATGTGAGTCCACTTCTGAGGCGCCTCTAAACTCTTGAGGCGACTTTTGTGGCGACTTTTGAGGCGACTTTTGAGGCGCCTCAAGAGTCCTTCAGGGGCATGCAGTGCAGAGCATCAAGTACATGTGAGTCCAGATTGAGGGTTAAGAGCGTGTGAGAAGAAAGGCGTGTGAGATGAAGGGCGTGTGAGATGAAGGGCGTGTGAGATGAAGGGTGTGTGAGATGAAGGGTGTGTGAGATGAAGGGCGTGTGAGATGAAGGGTGTGTGAGATGAAGGGCGTGTGAGATGAAGGGCGTGCATCTCAGGCCTGGCCATGCATCAATGCCCTGCCATTCATGCACCTCTTTCCACTCGCGTGCCGATTCACACCACGCACATTAATTTCCCTGTACAGCAACACGCCGTCCCCATGCTTACGGCCAACTAATCAGCACGAGTCTGCATCGCTGTCCGCGTCCACATTTCAACAAAGCGAGTCAATGCTCGATTCTGCTCCGCCCCATTCGCACTCCCATCCCCATCCCCGTCCCACCACCCCTGCAGTGATCTCAGCTTTCAACCTGCAGCTGTCAGGCCCTCTCCCGGAATTCCGCGAGATAGAAAGCTGGGGTTTGAGACGTCTCAAAACCCTCCTCCTCTCAATCCCCATCCCGCCATCCCTATCCCGCCACCCCCACAGCGATCTGAGCTTCAACCTGCAGCTATCAGGCCCTCTCCCGGACTTCTTTGGCGCCATGCCTTCGCTTGAGTCCATGTGAGCCCTTCTCATGCCCCCAACCTCCATTGCCCCACAACTCCATTGCGCCAGAACTACATTGCGCCAGAACTACATTGCGCCAGAACTACATTGCGCCAGAACTACATTGCGCCAGAACTACATTGCGCCAGAACTACATTGCGCCAGAACTACATTGCGCCAGAACTACATTGCGCCAGAACTACATTGCGCCAGAACTACATTGCGCCAGAACTACATTGCGCCAGAACTACATTGCGCCAGAACAACATTGCGCCAGAACTACATTGCGCCAGAACTACATTGCGCCAGAACAACATTGCCCCACAACTCCATTGCCCCACAACTCCATTGCCCCACATTCCCCTTCCTCTCCACCCTACCCTCTCCCCGCCCCTGCCTTGCACCCCTCCCCTCGTGCTGTGCCCATTCTCATTCCGTTGCACACGAGTCACTCTCTTGTGCCCCTTCCCTTCTGCACCCATTGCTCCCCTCCACTCCATTCCCCGACTTCCCGCTCCCCCATTATCCCTGTGATTTTCCCCACCCTCCCTCATTACCCACCCTCCCTCATTACCCACCCTCCCTCACTACCGACTCTCCCATGTCTCTCCCCTCTCCCCTCCCCCTTCCCCCCTCCCCCTTCCCCCCTCCCCCTTCCCCCCTCCCCCTTCCCCCCTCCCCCTTCCCCCCTCCCCCTTCCCCCCTCCCCCTTCCCCCCTCCCCCTTCCCCCCTCCCCCTTCCCCCCTAACCTTCCCTCACCCCCTCTCCCATCCATTCCCCAGTGCCCTCGAGTCATGTGGCTTCACCGGCCCCATCCCTCCCACCCTCGCATCCCTCCCCAACCTCTGAGAGCCTCGGCCACACCGCCCTGCACGGCGCCCTGCCGCCCTCCCTCCACTCAGCCCCTCTCCCTTGTGCCCCCATCCCCCCTCTCCACCCCCTCTCTCTCCCCTTGTGTCCTCCCAACCCCCCATTCCCCCACCCAGTGCCCTTGAGTCATGCGGCTTCACCGGCCCCATCCCACCCTCCCTCGCATCTCTCCCCAACCTGAGAGAGCTTTTCCTCGACCACAACGCGCTGCACGGCGCCCTGCCGCCCTCCCTGGCCACACTCTCCGCACTCACAGCGCTCTACCTCAACAGCAACCAGCTCTCGGGAGCGATTCCCGAGGACCTGTGTGGGCTGGGGTCGCTGGGGGTGGTCATGCTGGGACATAACGACCTGGAGGGGGCCATTCCCGCATGCCTGCTTGCGCTGCCCAACATCACCACGCTGTGAGTTGTGTGTCCGTGGCGTCCCTCTCAGCGCTCACATCGCTTTACCTTAACAGGGACAGGGACAGGGGCAGAGCAAGCAGGCACGCGGGACAGGTGGTTTTGTGTCCGTGGCGTCCCTCTCAGCGCTCACAGCGCTCTGCCTTAACAGCAACCAGCTCTCCCCGCATGCCTGCTTGCCCTGCCCAACATCACCACGCTGTGAGTCTTGGGTTGAGATGTGGGGCGAGTTGGGTTCTGCTTGGGATGCCTGTGCTGGTAGCGGTTTTGCGATCAGTATGTGGTGCGAGGTCGTGTGGCTACATACTGATCATCGCAAAGGTCCCTTTTCTCATACAGCTCTCCCAACTCACGCACCTTATTCTCCTTCATAGCATCTTCAGCTTCCCACTCTCACTGTTCTGCACACCAACATTCTCTGCTGCACTGAAACCATCCTCACCCCCTTCAATCTCTCTGCACCCACGCCACTCTACAGGAACCTGTTGTCCAACCGCCTGTCTGTCAGACCCCTTCCCACCTGTCCCTCTGCACCGTAAACCTCTCCTCTGCACCGTACCCCTCTCCTCTGCACCGTAATCCTCTCCTCTGCACCGTAGCCCTCTCCTCTGCACCCACACTCACCCTTTTTAACCCTTCCAAACCCACCCACGCCACTCTAAAGGGACCTATCGTCCAACCGCCTGTCAGGCCCCGTCCCACCCGTCCCTCCCGCCTCCTCCATTGACTTCCGAGTCGGCGGAAACTGCCTGGAAGGAGCGCCGCAGCAGCTCTCCCCTTGCCCCACAGGGTCCGACTCCCCATCCTCTCCCTCCTCCGCCTCCCCCACCCCTCCAACCGGCTCCCAAGGGAGTAGCAGCAGCGGCACCACCGGTCTCAGCACTGGTGGTGGCAGCACTAGTAGTAGCAGTGGTGGCAGTGCGGACACTGGGAGCAGCGGTACAGCTTGGGACAACATTTGGAACGCACCCCCTTCCCAGGAGGAGGGCGCATGGCCTGGCACTGGCGGCCGCAACAGTGGCAGCAGCACCGGCAGCACTGGGAGTACTGGCAGCAGCAGCAGCAGCAGCAGCAGCAGCAGCAGCAGCAGCAGGCAGCAGCACGGACAACACAAGCACAGACGCAGCAGCAGCAGCAGCAGCATCTGGATGGGCATGGGGTTGGATCAATTTCCTGCTGCTGGCACTCGCCATCGCTTCAGCCATCGCCATTGCCGCTGCATGCTTTGGATACATCACCCAGCGCAGACCCCCCTCCTCCTCCTCCCTCGCCATCGCCCCGCCTCTCACCCTGCCTCCCCCGCGCGTTGAAGAGCGTAAGTCCCTGCACTACCTGTGAGCGTGCACTACCTGTGATGCTTCTCTTCCTCCGCGCTCACCATCGCCCTGCCTACCCCACGCCACCAAGGGCTCCCCTCTCATCTCCTCGTTTTCCCCTTGTCCTTTGCCCTTCCCCTCTCATCTCCTCGTTTTCCCCTTGTCCTTTGCCCTTCCCCTCTCATCTCCTCGTTTTCCCCTTGTCCTTTGCCCTTCCCCTCTCATCTCCTCGTTTTCCCCATGTCCTTTGCCCTTCCCCTCTCATCTCCTCGTTTTCCCCTTGTCCTTTGCCCTTCCCCTCTCATCTCCTCGTTTTCCCCATGTCCTTTGCCCTTCCCCTCTCATCTCCTCGTTTTCCCCTTGTCCTTTGCCCTTCCCCTCTCATCTCCTCGTTTTCCCCATGTCCTTTGCCCTTCCCCTCTCATCTCCTCGTTTTCCCCATGTCCTTTGCCCTTCCCCTCTCATCTCCTCGTTTTCCCCATGTCCTTTTCCCTTCCCCTCTCATCTCCTCGTTTTCCCCATGTCCTTTGCCCTTCCCCTCTCATCTCCTCGTTTTCCCCTTGTCCTTTGCCCTTCCCCTCTCATCTCCTCGTTTTCCCCATGTCCTTTGCCCTTCCCCTCTCATCTCCTCGTTTTCCCCATGTCCTTTGCCCTTCCCCTCTCATCTCCTCGTTTTCCCCTTGTCCTTTGCCCTTCCCCTCTCATCTCCTCGTTTTCCCCTTGTCCTTTGCCCTTCCCCTCTCATCTCCTCGTTTTCCCCATGTCCTTTGCCCTTCCCCTCTCATCTCCTCGTTTTCCCCATGTCCTTTGCCCTTCCCCTCTCATCTCCTCGTTTTCCCCATGTCCTTTGCCCTTCCCCTCTCATCTCCTCGTTTTCCCCATGTCCTTTGCCCTTCCCCTCTCATCTCCTCGTTTTCCCCATGTCCTTTGCCCTTCCCCTCTCATCTCCTCGTTTTCCCCTTGTCCTTTGCCCTTCCCCTCTCATCTCCTCGTTTTCCCCTTCTCCTTTGCCCTTCCCCTCTCATCTCCTCGTTTTCCCCTTGTCCTTTGCCCTTCCCCTCTCATCTCCTCGTTTTCCCCATGTCCTTTGCCCTTCCCCTCTCATCTCCTCGTTTTCCCCATGTCCTTTGCCCTTCCCCTCTCATCTCCTCGTTTTCCCCATGTCCTTTGCCCTTCCCCTCTCATCTCCTCGTTTTCCCCATGTCCTTTGCCCTTCCCCTCTCATCTCCTCGTTTTCCCCATGTCCTTTGCCCTTCCCCTCTCATCTCCTCGTTTTCCCCATGTCCTTTGCCCTTCCCCTCTCATCTCCTCGTTTTCCCCTTGTCCTTTGCCCTTCCCCTCTCATCTCCTCGTTTTCCCCATGTCCTTTGCCCTTCCCCTCTCATCTCCTCGTTTTCCCCATGTCCTTTGCCCTTCCCCTCTCATCTCCTCGTTTTCCCCATGTCCTTTGCCCTTCCCCTCTCATCTCCTCGTTTTCCCCTTGTCCTTTGCCCTTCCCCTCTCATCTCCTCGTTTTCCCCTTGTCCTTTGCCCTTCCCCTCTCATCTCCTCGTTTTCCCCATGTCCTTTGCCCTTCCCCTCTCATCTCCTCGTTTTCCCCTTGTCCTTTGCCCTTCCCCTCTCATCTCCTCGTTTTCCCCATGTCCTTTGCCCTTCCCCTCTCATCTCCTCGTTTTCCCCATGTCCTTTGCCCTTCCCCTCTCATCTCCTCGTTTTCCCCATGTCCTTTGCCCTTCCCCTCTCATCTCCTCGTTTTCCCCATGTCCTTTGCCCTTCCCCTCTCATCTCCTCGTTTTCCCCTTGTCCTTTGCCCTTCCCCTCTCATCTCCTCGTTTTCCCCATGTCCTTTGCCCTTCCCCTCTCATCTCCTCGTTTTCCCCTTGTCCTTTGCCCTTCCCCTCTCATCTCCTCGTTTTCCCCATGTCCTTTGCCCTTCCCCTCTCATCTCCTCGTTTTCCCCATGTCCTTTGCCCTTCCCCTCTCATCTCCTCGTTTTCCCCTTGTCCTTTGCCCTTCCCCTCTCATCTCCTCGTTTTCCCCTTGTCCTTTGCCCTTCCCCTCTCATCTCCTCGTTTTCCCCTTGTCCTTTGCCCTTCCCCTCTCATCTCCTCGTTTTCCCCATATCCTTTGCCCTTCCCCTCTCATCTCCTCGTTTTCCCCATGTCCTTTGCCCTTCCCCTCTCATCTCCTCGTTTTCCCCATGTCCTTTGCCCTTCCCCTCTCATCTCCTCGTTTTCCCCATGTCCTTTGCCCTTCCCCTCTCATCTCCTCGTTTTCCCCATGTCCTTTGCCCTTCCCCTCTCATCTCCTCGTTTTCCCCATGTCCTTTGCCCTTCCCCTCTCATCTCCTCGTTTTCCCCTTGTCCTTTGCCCTTCCCCTCTCATCTCCTCGTTTTCCCCATGTCCTTTTCCCTTCCCCTCTCATCTCCTCGTTTTCCCCATGTCCTTTGCCCTTCCCCTCTCATCTCCTCGTTTTCCCCTTGTCCTTTGCCCTTCCCCTCTCATCTCCTCGTTTTCCCCATGTCCTTTGCCCTTCCCCTCTCATCTCCTCGTTTTCCCCTTGTCCTTTGCCCTTCCCCTCTCATCTCCTCGTTTTCCCCTTGTCCTTTGCCCTTCCCCTCTCATCTCCTCGTTTTCCCCTTGTCCTTTGCCCTTCCGCTCTCATCTCCTCGTTTTCCCCTTGTCCTTTGCCCTTCCCCTCTCATCTCCTCGTTTTCCCCTTGTCCTTTGCCCTTCCCCTCTCATCTCCTCGTTTTCCCCTTGTCCTTTGCCCTTCCCCTCTCATCTCCTCGTTTTCCCCTTGTCCTTTGCCCTTCCCCTCTCATCTCCTCGTTTTCCCCTTGTCCTTTGCCCTTCCCCTCTCATCTCCTCGTTTTCCCCTTGTCCTTTGCCCTTCCCCTCTCATCTCCTCGTTTTCCCCTTGTCCTTTGCCCTTCCCCTCTCATCTCCTCGTTTTCCCCATGTCCTTTGCCCTTCCCCTCTCATCTCCTCGTTTTCCCCATGTCCTTTGCCCTTCCCCTCTCATCTCCTCGTTTTCCCCATGTCCTTTGCCCTTCCCCTCTCATCTCCTCGTTTTCCCCATGTCCTTTTCCCTTCCCCTCTCATCTCCTCGTTTTCCCCATGTCCTTTGCCCTTCCCCTCTCATCTCCTCGTTTTCCCCTTGTCCTTTGCCCTTCCCCTCTCATCTCCTCGTTTTCCCCTTGTCCTTTGCCCTTCCCCTCTCATCTCCTCGTTTTCCCCTTGTCCTTTGCCCTTCCCCTCTCATCTCCTCGTTTTCCCCTTGTCCTTTGCCCTTCCCCTCTCATCTCCTCGTTTTCCCCTTGTCCTTTGCCCTTCCGCTCTCATCTCCTCGTTTTCCCCTTGTCCTTTGCCCTTCCCCTCTCATCTCCTCGTTTTCCCCTTGTCCTTTGCCCTTCCCCTCTCATCTCCTCGTTTTCCCCTTGTCCTTTGCCTTTCCCCTCTCATCTCCTCGTTTTCCCCTTGTCCTTTGCCCTTCCCCTCTCATCTCCTCGTTTTCCCCATGTCCTTTGCCCTTCCCCTCTCATCTCCTCGTTTTCCCCATGTCCTTTGCCCTTCCCCTCTCATCTCCTCGTTTTCCCCATGTCCTTTGCCCTTCCCCTCTCATCTCCTCGTTTTCCCCTTGTCCTTTGCCCTTCCCCTCTCATCTCCTCGTTTTCCCCATGTCCTT